AATTAATTACTACATAATTATTACTATATATATATATAATATANACTATATATNTACTATATATATATAATACATATATATCTATATATATATATACATACATATATATATTATAAATTTCAATATATATATATATATATAGTTATGTAAGTGTATGTAATTATACATATATGTCTATATATACTCATTCAGATAAAGATGGAGGCAAAAATAAGAGAGAGATATATATTTATATATACATTATTTATTAAGATTAAAAATGTATAATTTGCATGTATCCACGTAGGGAAGCATACAAGTAAGCACACATACGCATGCGACACCTTGAAAGAGACACTCACAGGAGAACAGCATCAGTCACGTGGACCTGTTGCCACGTTGCAGGTCTTCACAGCCGTTGGAAAATGTATAAAACATAACCTGCGTCCATACATCAGCAACACTACATGAACGCTTACACATAAGTGCATCTAAATTTCGATCAAATACTACAATGCAGCTATCCAAAGGCGAACAATGACCATGAATCATACAGTCATACAAATAAATTTCTTGAATTTGTCATTCTATGTCTGCCCACAAGGACCAGACGCAATGCGGGGCATTTTTGGAAAGAAACATTCTTGTTTAAACAACTATACACTATGACACTTAGGACTGTAGCCACGAACATTCTCGGATAAACTCGTAGTAAGTTGAACGAATATACAACGATGTCATACCGCCAAATTGTTGTCAGGGATACATTCGCATTGCGCACATCCTCGTAAATCGGTGGTAAAACCAGCAGTACATTCCAGCTCGCACTGCGACGAAGGTTCAGTCGCGGAGCAGGTGCATAGGGGATCAACTGTCTGTTCTTCATCACACACGGCAGTTGAACAGTCGAACAAATCGCCCTCAAAGGTACATCCACAGGTATTGCACCCGTCGAAGTATTCCAGACACCCTGGTGGGCAGTGGTCTTTGCACATTTCGTTGTAATCACTGTCGTTCCAGTCCAAGAACATCTGCCTGTCTGCTTCATCCACATCTGTCCACAGAATGTGATAGTAGCACATATTGATAGACAATGTGCCATTCTCCTCTTTCCCTGCAAGTACATACGTACCCCCGTCGATGAAGTCATCGGGGCCGAGGTCACATGAGTTGACATTATTCGAGTGGCTCGAATTACTCAGAGGGATAATAAGCACCTCATTAACTGCACCTACTTCGATGTCAGCTATAGTTTTGGCCAAAAGTTGTAGTTCCTCTACTTGTACGTCGACAGTCACCACCGCGAGCCAGTCTGAGAAACACAGCTGTTCTTTAATGGTAACGTAGGGACAACTGCATGCACTGCATGCTTGCGTATTGAATGTGACTATGGCTACAAACAATAGCAAACTAGCACTAACGATCCTGGATGGACCAGTAGTAGCGAGGTTCCGTCCGCCAAGCATCATGACTATGTGCCCGCGTTGTGAACTCGGCTTCTGTGATATCAACATACAAATTGCATATTAAATTTATGGCCTTCCTCTGCGGATTTTAACACAAAAAGTTCGAATTTGTTACATATTTGGCTATTTTTCTTCTATATTGGAGTGTTACTGACCTGTGTACGGCATTATTAAAATTGTGTAAATATGCTTGAAATTTTCATGGCCCTCTGGATTAGGGTCACTGCTAAATTTACGATTTCCGCTACGACACCTGATTTCTGCTCGCGACCCTAATCCAGAGGGCCGCGAAATTTCTATTGACTCTGCGATGCTCTGTTAAAAATGATATTTGTTTTTAAAATATATATCCATATATATAAATATGTATTTAGCTCTATGAAATAGCTGAAATAAGTAAATATAAAGATATTTTTATTTCCAAACAAAAAAACGAGTTTCGTTATATCAAGAGACCAGTAAATATATTTTGTACATATTGGGTTATTTAAATATTTTTATAAATAATAGGAGCAGACAACATCAAATATTGGACGGAGGAACCCAGAGATTTTTTACTTTGTATAGAGGTTGACCCAGAGGTATATTAAAAATTGTATTTCATTAGAAGCTAGATGACTCCAACTCTCCGTTTTGACGAGTAAGAAACGTATGCTTAATCTCATCCCGATCGGACTATTGGTTCCAAAGTTATGAAATATTTCAGTTTGTACCAGAACTGGGTCGAACTAGGCATTTAATAAGTCCAATCCATACCCAACAGAGTACAGACCTTTCTGGCATTATACATAGTATACAACTTTATTGGTCTATGTGGGGTAGGTAATATGCGCGCGTACAGCGAGTTTGGAATTTTGGATGTGTATTTCGGGTACCTCGTATTCTAACCAGTACCTTTTATACCAGTGAGAATGTGAGCTACCCGAATTCAAAATTTTTATGTTCAATTTTCAGATTGCTATGCTTTCATCACTAAAAGCATAGCTATTAACTATCAAGACCCTACAAACTATATTTAACCCAAAAATGGAATAAAGTGTAACTATCTTCGCCAATTTGAGACCCAGTGCAAGAATATGGAAAAGCCCAATACAGAAAACACGATATGATACCAGCGGCAGCGGGGAAGTATTTAGGTTGAAGACTTGAAGTGAATACAGTATTTACACACACACAAAAATACAAACACACACATAGTCAGACAGGCCTACTTACATACTTCCGTATATACATACTTGCATACAAACAAACAAACACACACACACACACACATATATATATATGTATATATGTATATATATATATACATACACACACCAATATATATACATACAGACACAAACCCACACACGCACACGCACACATACACACAAAACACATGCATA